GGTTCGTGTAATGGAAATTGCACGGGATTTATTATCCTTAAAATTTAAATATATATTTATATTTCGTAGACGTAAGTCTACACTAAACTCAATGGTTTTATGTTGGTTCGATTCCAACAGAGGTTTTTATTTATTCCACTCCTAGTAAGGATTTATTTTTACTTTATTTTGAATATTTTTTCTACTTTTGATACTTTTAATGGGTTTTTTACCCTTTATTTAGATCTTATTATTATTTTATCTATACTTTCGGGTATTTTTATAATAATTAGTAAAAATCCTATTGTTTCTGTATTACATTTGATAATGTTATTTTCTACTATTTCTTGTTATCTTATTTTTTTAGGTATTAAATTTATAGGACTATCTTATCTTTTAGTTTATGTTGGGGCTGTTTCTATTTTATTTTTATTCATTTTAATGTTAATTAATATTAGAGTCTCAGAACTTATTAGTAATACAAATAATAATATTCCTTTAGCTATTTTAGCTATTTTGGCTATTTTTATTCCATATAATAATTTATCTATTGAAACAAAAACTAATTTAACTTTTGATAATTTAAAAATATTTTTTGTTTCATCTAACAATTGAGATAGTAATTTAGTAGATGTTACTGATATTACTAGTATTGGAAATGTTATGTATACTAATTACTCTATATGATTAATAATTACTTCTATAATTTTATTATTAGCTATGGTAGGTTCTATTGTTATAACTATTAAACAAAAAAATTAATAATTAACATATAATATTTTTATTAGAGGCTTTAGTTTAATAGGTAGAACATACGACTTTTAATCGTTATTATATGGGTTCAATTCCCCTAGGCCTTAAAAGTTATATGTATATGTAATAATTAAGAATATAAGGAGAATCCCTTTATTGGTAAGAAGGGTTGAGCTGTAAACTCAATAGTAATATGCTTTTAAGAGTTCGAATCTCTTTTCTCCTATTTTCTTACTAGCTTAATGGTAAAGCATTATACTTCTAATATAACTATTTAAGTTCAAATCTTAGGTAAGAGTATAAGTAAGCCAGGATAGTTTAATTGGTTAGAACTTTAATTTCATGCATTAACGATGAGAATTCAAGTTTCTCTTCTGGCTTGGGGAGTATAGACGGGCTAGAGCCTGGCTGGTTTGGCGCCTCATTTGGGTTGAGGATCTTCTATGTTCGAATCATGGTAGCCCGATATATATATATATACTTTTAGAAAATTTAATTTTACAGTTTATTTACTATGTTATTATGTATAACTTTTTGCTTTAAACCATATATTTATTAACAATAATTTAACGGGTATAGGTTAATGGTAGACCAATCGTTTTCCAAATGAATAGTGTGAGTTCAAATCTCGTTACCCGTATTATTATGATAATATATATCATATAAGAATTAGTAATCTTAATTGGTAAAGTGTTTCCTTGTCGAGGAAAATGATGCCGGATCGAGGCCGGCCTAATTCGTGTTTTTTATAAAAAAAAAATAAAGGAAAAGTTGCCATTGGTAAGGTAAGGTATTTGCTAAATATTGTGTAAAAACACTTGGATGTTCGATTCATTCCTTTTCCGAGAAGAGTATAGTTTAATTGGCAAAATAAGAAGCTTCAAACTTCAAGTTTTCAGTTCAAGTCTGAGTGCTCTTGCTTATTATAAATATATAATAATTTAACCGGTATAGGTTAATGGTAGACCACTCGTTTACCAAACGAATTGTGCGAGTTCAAATCTCGCTGCCGGTATTATTCTAATTTAATTTACAATAATTTATATATTTAATTAGTAAATATATTATCTTATACAAATAATTTACCTCAATAAATATTTTTGATAAAAATATATAATGTATACTAATATTATGTATTTTTATTTTAAATAGGTTCTTTAGCTTAAACGGTAAAGCGTATTTTTGATAAAAATATGTTCGATGTTCAAGTCATCGAAGAATCACATATATAAAGAGAATTGGCTGAGTGGTTTAAAGCGGTAAGCTTGAAACTTATTTGATTATATCAATCACATCCGTTCAAATCGGATATTCTCTGTAAAAATAATATGTTACTTATTATATTAAAATATTTTTTATTTTAGTATAAAATATTTGTAGTAAATCTTTTTGTAATTCTTTTTTTATGTTATTATTATCTTTGGTTTTAATACCTCTTTTTGGTATATTTTTAATACTATCATATTCTTCTTATGATATACAACCCTCAGTAGAAAACACAAAAACACTAAAAATACTGGCACTTACTGTTACTATAGTAAATTTAATTATATCATTAATAATATGATTATTATTTGATAATAGTAGTAAACATTTTCAATTTGTACAAGAGCATTATATAATAGGTTATTATGATTTTTATTTAGGTATAGATGGTTTATCTATATATTTTATATTATTAACAACTTTTATTATGCCTATTTCAATAATATCTAATTGAAAATCTATAGATAATAAAATAAAATATTTTTTAATAATAATTTTATTATTAGAAACACTTTTATTAATGATATTTTTAGTATTAGATATTTTATTATTTTATATTTTTTTTGAAAGTATTTTAGCACCTCTATTTATACTAATAGGTTTATTTGGATCAAGTGCAAAAATAAGAGCAAGTTTTTATTTTTTCTTATATACATTTTTAGGTTCATTATTTATGTTGTTATCTATTATAACTAT